TCCCTTCCTCCCTCGCTCCCTCCCTCCCTCCTTCCCTCCGCCCGACTGCGCCGCCCGCACGCGCCCCCGCCCGACTAGGCAACCCGCATGGTCTATAAATAGGCCCCCCGTGTCGGTGCGTTTAGTGCGTGTTGTTATGGCGCCGGTCGGGTCATTTGCTTTCGCGGTCGTCGCTGTTCACACCTCGTGGCGGAGAGATACAGCAGTTAGTCGTCGAGGGGGGCGGGGGGAGAAACAAGTCGGAAACAGGCGTCGTGCACATGGCTCTCTTATTCTTCCCCTCGATGGGTGGTGGTAATCATGCGCTTGTGGCGCGAACGTTTCGTTTAAACCGACGGCACTCTATCACCGTCGCTCCGTGAAGCATCTTTCTAGCCGCGCCTGGGTGGCGCTGTCTGCGGTTGTCTCGTAAACGAATGTTTTGCGGAAGCGTCTTTTCTTTCCGACACACCCTAGAGTCTGCAAACACTGTTAGAAAAGCTAATGTGACACAGGGCGCGTCAAACGTTAGGACTAACACTTGGGTCACTTTTGATTGATGCAACGCCAGCTGGGAGGTAGAGGCATAGGACACCCAGGAGTTCACACCACAAACCTGTCGAAAAATCACGGTCACAACAAACAGTATCACTTTCACACTTGTGCATGTTGCACTCGTCACGTTAGTTTCTCCTGTGAATGCTCAGTGAGAAATGACTGCAAGCTGCATCCGTCTTCTGGCCATGGTGCCCTGCGGCCTGTCAATTTTAGTCTTTGTAAGCTCTCATGGCGCCTGGTAGGTAGGCAACATCCTGTCTGCAGCGCATGCGTGTACGGCGGGGTGGCCTACCATGGGTCTTGCAGGCGCTGAGCCCCCTAATTGTCGAATGAACATGATGAAGACGGACTGAGATCTCTCCTATGCATTCGACGGTCTGACTACGGAAGAGGGTGGGCGAATCATGAGTCACATGGTTCACGTTTTATTTCATACATTTTCGCCGCATCGATTAAGTCCTTTCGCACTTCCTGACAGGGGCAGGCCTCCCCCCCCCCCTCCACACACACACACACACACACACACGACAGACAGACAGACAGACAGACAGACAGACAGACAGACAGACAGACAGACAGACAGACAGACAGACAGACAGACAGACAGACAGACAGACAGA